GCCGAGCCGGATCCAGCGCTGGCGTCGGCTCTGGCCGTCGCCGGAAAAATTGAATTCCGAGGCCGCGCTAACAAAACTCATCCAAACAGATTTTTCGAAAGTGCATCATTTCTGCTCCCGGCGCTCGGAGGCTTCTGCGTCTCAAGGAGAGGTGGAGCAGACATTAAAGGAGGTAAAAGCAAGCACACGAACGCTATGGACGCGCGATGCGCTGCCACAAGCCAGCTTCCCGCAAGATCGGTCCAGAGTGGGAGGGGACGGAGCTGGGCGGGTGATGGACCACCAGAGCACTGCTCCAGCCTTCCCTCAGCCCTGGGTCTGCTGACCACACAGGAGCACGGCAGACCACACAGGAGCGCGGCAAACCACAAAGGAGCAAGGCAGACCCCAAATGAGCACGGCAGTCCACACGTTCGCACGGCAGACCGCACAGGAGCACGGCAGACCGCACATGAGCACGGCAGACCAAGAAGGAGCACGGCAGACCACACAGGAGCACGGCAGACCACACAGGAGCACGGCAGACCACACAGGACACGGCAGACCCCACGGGAGCACGGCAGACCACACAGGAGCACGGCAAACCACACAAGAGCACGGCAGACCATACAGGAGCACGCCAGACCACACAGGAGCACGGCAGACCACACGTTCGCACGGCAAACTCCACAGGAGCACGGCAGACCCCAAAGGAGCACGGCAGACCACAGGAGCACGGCAGACCGTCTTCGAGGCCTCTTGGGCCGTCTTGGGGCCCTCTTGGAGCCATCTTAGCCGTCTTGGAGGCCATCTTGGCCGTCTTGGAAGACATCTTGGGCGTCTTGGAGGCCTCTTGCGCCGTGTTAGGGCCCTCTTGGGACCGTCTTGGGGACTTCTTGGGCCGTTTCGGGGCCATCTTGAAGGCCTCTTGGGCGATCTTAAAGCGATCTTGGGGGCCTCTTGGGCCGTCTTGGGCCGTCGGAACGCGGCAGGCCATCATTTAGTCTGTTCTGTTGCGTTTATGGGTTTCTCTGACGTTCTCGCCAATACGGTCTCTGACGCACGTGGTGGATAAAAAACGGCGCTTCCCGTTCTTGTCCGGTCAGGTTCCGGAAAAATGGCCGTTTCGCTCGAGACATCCTCGATAAATCGGCTCTGGAGGGGACTCCGAACCGGCATTATCTTGGAGTCGCTCCTGGAGGGCTTCAAAACGGCCCCAAAGAGCCCTCAAAGGCCCAGGGGGCCCCCGACGCGGCCCAAGAGACCCCCAAGAGGCCCCCCAGAGGCGCCCAGATGCCCCCCAGAGCGCGCGAAGAGGCCCCGGGACTGGCCAAGAGAGCCCCAAAACAGTCCAAGAGAACGCCAAGACAGCCCACGAGAGCCCCCACACACCTCGAGACACTCCCGGACAGTCCAAGAGGGTCACATTAGCCTCCAAGAGGCTCCTAAAACGTTCCGAACGGCCCCAACAATTGCCGTTTCGCTCGAGACCTCTTCAACAAATCGGGTTCGGAGGGGACTCCGAACTGGCATTGTCTTGGAGTCGCTCCCGGAGAGCTTCAAAACGGCCCGAAAGAGCCCCAAAAGGCTCCCCAGGGGACCCCCAAAACGGCCCAAGAGACCCCCAAGAGGCCCTGAAGAGGCGCCCAGAGGCCCCCAAGAGGCGCCCAGAGGCCCCCCCGAGCGCGAGAAGAGGCCCCAGGACTGGCCAAGAGAGCCCCAAGACGGTCCAAGATAGCTCCCGGAGAGCTTCAAAACAGCCCGAAAGAGCCCCAAAACAGGGGACCCCCAAAACGGCCCAAGAGACCCCCAGAACGGCCCCGAAGAGGCGCCCAGAGGCCCCCAAGAGGCGCCCAGAGGCCCCCCCGAGCGCGAGAAGAGGCCCCAGGACTGGCCAAGAGGGCCCCAAGACGGTCCAATATAGCGCCAAGACAGCCCAAGAGAGCCCCCACAGACCCTCGAGAGACGCCTGGACAGTCCAAGAGGGTCACAGAAGCCTCCAAGAGGCTCCCAAAATGCTCTCCACGGGCCCCACTCAGGCCCCCAGAGCCCCACGACAGTCCAAGATAACGCCAAGACAACCCAAGAGACCCCCACAGACCCTCGAGAGACGCCTGGCCAGTCCAAGAGGGTCACAGGTTTTTGAAAAATGGCCGTTTCGCTCGAGACATCCTCCAAACATCGGCCCAAAAGGGGACTCCGCATCGACGTCGTGTTCGAATCGCTCTTGGAGGGCTTTCCAAAGGCCCAAGGGAGGCCCAAAAGACGCCCCGGAGAGCCCCAGGAGCGCCCAAGAGCGCCCCAAGAAGACCCCAAGAGACCCCCAAGAGCGCTCCAGGAGCCACCCAGACAGCTCACAAGAACCCCAAGACGGCCCGAGAAGGGCCAAGAAAGCCCCAAGAGACTCCCGGGAGCGCCCCAGGAGGCCCCCAGCGCCGAGACGGCCTAAGAAAGCTCCCAGAGAACCCCACGACGCGCCCAGACAGCCCAAGAAGACCCCAGAAGCCCATAAGAGGACCCAGAGGGCCCCCAAGAAGCCCCCAACAGGCCCCAAGAGAACCCCGCGCGGTGCCAGGAGCAACATCTTTCCCCAATTATCTCATACTGTCCTTTGTCGTCGTCGTCGTCGTCGTCGTCGTCGTCGTCGTCATCATCGCCCTCCGCATTCCTCCTCGTGCTCGCCCTCGTTCTTTTCGTCCTCGTCCTTGTGCTTCTCTTCCTCCTCGTTTTTTCTCATGCTCCTCTTTGCTATCCTCACGTTCGCCACGTCGTCCTCGTCATCGACTCCTCGTTATCCTCGCCTTCCTGTTCTTCTTCGCCCAAAACGCCCATTAGACTACAGCGCCGCTTCCCGTTCTTGTCCGATCAGGTTGGATCCACCCCTAGGTGATGGACAGATTTCTCGCGAAGGGGCCGTCGCGAGGGGAACAGCGGGTGAAAGGGGTGCGAGGGGGGGGGCGGGGCGGCAGGACAAGGCAGCAGGCGGTGCGGGGGCCCCGTGGGCAGGAAGGGGGGGAGACAGCGACCGCAGTTGAGAGCCAGAAGGCGAGCCGCCAGAGCGGTGCAGCAAGCGGCCGCAAGGCAGGAGCGGCCGACCTGTCGGTGCGCGGGACGAGGGGTCCCCGCGGGTGCGGGCGGCAACCGTGCAGAAGGCGGCCGCCCAGGGCGCGGGCGGCCAGGGGGATAACACGGCGGGGGCGGACAGGCAGAGAGGGGCCAGTCGAGGGTGACGGCGGCGGGACGTCCAGACGGACGGAGCCATGGGCGGCAGGCTCCGCGAGAAGCAGCCACGAGGTGCACGGGCGCGAGTTGACGGGGGCGCCCAGTGAAGGGGGAGATAATCTCGGGCTGGACGGCAGGGGAGAGCGACCCAGCGAAAAAAGAGGCCTGCAGGGGAACCTCGGGCTGGGCGAGGACCGGGCGCGACAAGTCCCTGGATGGTTGCCGCGTCGGGAAGGCGGAGCGTCGCCCACTGTGGTCCCATTCGGGAACGGAGTCCAGGAACTCCCTGAGATGGGCGTCGGTGTGTAGAGGTAGGGGTTGGCGTGTCTTTACGCCTCCAACCAGGCTAGTATTGTGGAGGACGATCAGTGGAGAGGAAGCATGCTGCCAAATGATTTCCAGATGTTTAGAACATGTGTTTAAAACTGTTTAAACATGTAAAAAACAGGTTTCAAACATTTTCAGGATATTTTCCGACATTTTCTAACACATGTTTAATCGATGACAGGACTGTTAGGGTGTCCTTTGTCGTGGCATCCACAATGCTAGGACCGCGCTCCCGAATCCACGAGCGCCACGCGCTGGGGGGGGGGGGCGCCGCGGCCGCGAGGGTGGGAAGCACGCAGGGCTCGAGAGCCCAGTGCTCCTCCTCGGCGGCGGGCAGTCGGCAGCAGCAGGCGCGAGCCTGCAAGCCGACGCACTGAGCCGTAGGACGGGGGGGGGACGGGCGCCGTCGGCCCACGACGGCGTAGTGTGAAGTCGGGCCTGTCCCTCCACAGGGGGAACATTCAGAAGTAGTCAAACAATAGACTGGGGACGATTCCAGGGTATTTTTTACAATTTTGAAGTATTGTTTGAGTATTCTTCATTTTTCGTCGAAAATCCCCCCTGGTAGGGGGACACGCCCGACGTAAGACTGGGCCGCGGCCGAGGTCGCGAGCGGGCCGGAGGCGGAGCGGCAGGAGGGCCCCCGTGGCTCGCCAGGGGTGGGGGGGCCGACGGCCGTGGGGGGGGGGAGCCGTGGCCATCTTGGGGCCATCCTGGGGGCCGGGCGCCTCGCCCCGCGCGCTTTAGGGGCTCTCTTGGGGGGGGGGGGCTGGCCGAACGACGGGGGGGGCGGGCGCCGTCGGCCGGCGGCGTGGCGTGACTGGGCCGCGGCCGAGGTCGCGAGCGGGCCGGAGGCGGAGCGGCAGGAGGGCCCCCGTGGCTCGCGGGGGGGGAGGCCGACGGCCGTGGGGGGGGGAGCCACGGCCAGCTTGGGGCCATCCATGGGGCCGGGCGCTTCGCCCCGCGCGCCTGAGAGGGTTCTCGGGCTGTGGAAGGCGATCAGTGGAGAGGAAGCGTGCTGCCAAAGAGTTTCCAGAGGTCTGAAAGATGTTTCAGACATGTCTTGGATGTTTAGAACAATGTGCCTGACACATTTTTAGGACACGTTTTACACATCTGAAGCACACTTTAAACTCAATGGTAGGATTGTTAGAGTGTCCCTTGTCATGGCATTCACAGCTCCTGGGGGGTTTGCACCGGCTTTTCGGGGGCCTCCGCCCCGAATTTGGCACTTGCGAGGTCCGCAGACCCCCCTGGGTCCGCCCTCGCGCGCGCGGATCATATACAAATAAGTACATGTCTTCCTCCGAATTATTGTGTGAGGGATTTGATATCCCTGGGGCCCATCGGGCCAGCGTTTTTTGTTGTTGTTGTTGTTGTTGTTGTTGTTGTTGTTGTTGTTGTTGTTGTTGTTGTTGAGAGTAGCCGCCGCCACCAAGTCTTCATATTTAGAGCAATGCCCGCCGGTGGAGGGAGAGAAAGAAGAAGCTAGAAGAGGAACGCTCAGACAACATGTTTGGAATCTTCCTTTGCTGCTCTGCATGTTGCCCGCAGTCTGCCATGTTTCGCGAACCATCGCATTCACGATTGATTCACCAGCAGGGGCCAACCACGTGGTACGACGGACGCTCTGCGGCGCAAGTGTATACGTGGGGCGATGGGGTTGCAGAGCTCCACAGTTCGCGCGTGAGGCGCGTGCATACTCGGATGCTCAGTCCAGGTTCTAGGATGCCTAACGTAGTATCGTCTCGGTGATGGATGGTGTGCAATGTGGGCGTAAGTATGTGGGGTGTACCTGGGCCCTGAGTGACAATTCACTAAGGCATACCCTGACTGAGCTCATGAGCTTCCACTTTGCACTGTGTGTGCGTTAGTTGGGCCAGCACCCATAGGCGGGCCAGGGAAGGATTGCAAGGGGGAAAGAACACGTTCTCATTTAGTTTTCTACTCTTCTGGGGAGCCCTTGGCCACATTTAAGTGATGCTCGTGGTTGTGTGTGCGTGTGTGGGTAATGTGTGGGGTGGACTTTGGTGAAGGATGAGGGTTTGCTGCTGTGTCTTGGCGTAGATACCATCGAGAGGGTATGGTTTCACAGGGTGCAGCAGGCTCTTGCCATCTCATCTAATCCCCTGGTGCTATTTCGTTTTGCAGGCATTTCACCCTCTTCCCTCATTTTCATCGTCCGTCTTCTCATCCACTGTGACATATCTGGTGATACCCATGAAGGATGATGCATGCTGCTGCTGATGCTGATGCTGCTGCTGATGATGATGATAATGGTGATGATGCTGATGATGCTGATGATTAGGATGACGATGATGATGTTGGTGATGATGGTCATGATGACGACGATATGTTGAGGGCGAGGATGATGATGAGGATGATGATGAGTATGAGGATGAGTATGAGGATGATGATGCTGATGATGAATCTGATGATGATGCTGATGATGATGATGCTGATGATGATGCTGCTGTTGATGATGCTGATGATGATGCTGATGATGCTGATGATGATGCTGCTGATGATGATGAGGATGCTGATGATGATGAGGATGCTGATGCTGATTATGGTGCTGATGATGATGATGATGATGATGATGATGATGAGGATGAGGATGATGAATAGGATTAGGATGAGGATGATGATGATGAGGATGAGGATGAGGTTGATGATAAGACTGATGATGATGATGCTGATGATGACGATGATGAGGAGGATGATGAGGAGGATGAGGATGAGGATGATGATGATGATGATGATGAGGATGATGAGGATGATGAGGATGATGATGATGACGAGGAGGAGGAGGAGGAGGAGTAGGATGATGATGATGATGATGATGATGATGATGATGGTAGTGGTGATGATGATGATGATGATGATGATGATGATGATGATGATGATGATGATGATGATGATCATGATGATGATGATGATGATGATGATGATGATGATGATGATGATGATGATGATGATGATGATGGTGGTGGTGGTGGTGGTGGTGGTGGTGGTGGTGGGGTGGGTGTGGTGGTGATGCTAAAGAAAGTTTTTTCAATTCAAGTGCTCCTTCAGGGGCTCGCACCCTATTCCCCAAATAGTGCTTGCACTTGGGCCTTCTTTATTCTTCTCTATGGACATCATCTGGTGTGGCGGTCTGGCGTCTGGCGGATATGTTGCCGCCGTCGCCGCCCAGTCGCCGCCTCGTCGCCGGCCGTCGTCTGGGCCGGTGTGGCGGTCTGGCGGCTATGTTGCCGCCGTCGCTGCCCCGTCGCCGCCTCGTCGCCGCTCGTCGTCTGGGCCAGTGTGGCGGTATGCTGTCTATGTTGTCGCCGTCGCCGCCCCGTCGCCGCCCCGTCGCCGCCCCGTCGCCGCCCGAGGTCTGGGCCAGTGTGGCGGTCTGCTGGCAATGTTGTCGCCGTCGCCGCCCTGTCGCCAGCCCGTCGTCGCCCGTCGTCTGGGCGAGTGTGGCGGTCTCGCCGCCCTGTCGTCGCGTCGTCGCCGCCTCGTCGCCGCCACAAACGTTGCTCCACATAGATTGCACAGCATAGATTGGACCACATGGATTAAACAACATTGATTGCACCACACATTCATCTATACACATATGTCTATTGCACCGCATTTGTTGCTCCTTATCGATTGCATCGTAGTCATTGCGCTACATATATTGCACCACATACATTGCACAACATCTGTTTTACACCATCTATGGTATTACATATATTGCACAACGTAAGTTCCCTTTATATTTATAGATATATTGCACAACATCTATTTCACATCATATATGGTACCACACATATTGCACAGCATAAGTTGAAACACGTAGTTTGCACTGCATATGTTGCTCCACATAGTGCACCACAGTTTGTTCCCCATAGACAGCACCACATAGGAAACTAGACACACCCTGTTCGGAATCCACGCTGGCTAATATGTGAAGACTTCTGTTCCTGGCCACTGATTTACAGCAACAGCGGCTCCTGCCTAATACCTCCTCATAATATATTTCAAAATCGCGCTCTTGCGCGGAACTAATGAAAGTTTTGCGGCCCGTATTGGGTTGTTGGCCTCCGAACTACAACAACAACAGTTCCCGCCTGGTGTTTCCTCACCGTTCGTTTCAGAATCGCGCTCTCGCGCGGGACGTCCTCACAATGTATGCAGAAACCGCGCTCTCGCGTGGTACCCCCTTGCAGTTTACTTTGGCGCCGTGCCCCCGACACTCAGGAGTTTTTTCCCAACCATCCTGTGGTGTTGGGTCCTCGTTTTGAAGAGACAGCGCCCCGCGTTCCTTCTTCCTTCCTCCTCCTTCCTTCCTCCTCCCCCTCCTCCCTCCTCCCTCCTCCCCCTCCTTGCCTCTTCCCTCGGCACACCTCTCACACATTTCGTAGCCCCATAAGGAGCTCCACCGAAGGCCCCAGTGGGGGTGTCCGCATGCGGTTCCCCCACCCAGGGCAGCGTTTCGTGGCCCCATAGGGAGCTCCGCAGTAGGCTCCAGTGGGGGTGCCCGCATGCGGTTCCCCCACCCAGGGCAGCGTTTCGTGGCCCCATAGGGAGCTCCACCGTAGGCCCCAGTGGGGGTGTCCGCATGCGGTTCCCCCACCCAGGGCAGCGTTTCATGGCCCCATGGGGAGCTCCACCGAAGGCCCCAGTGAGGGTGTCCGCATGCGGTTCCCCCACCCAGGGCAGCGTTTCGTGGCCCCATAGGGAGCTCCACCGTAGGCCCCAGTGGGGGTGCCCGCATGCGGTTCCCACACCCAGGGCAGCGCTTCGTGGCTCCATAGGGAGCTCCACCGTAGGCCCCAGTGGGGGTGTCCGCATGCGGTTCCCCACCCCAGGGCAGCGTTTCGTGGCCCCATAGGGAGCTCCATCGTAGGCTCCAGTGGGTGTCCGCATGCGGTTCCCCCACCCAGGGCAGCGTTTCGTGGCCCCATAGGGAGCTCCACCGTAGGCCCCTGTTGGGGTGTCCGCATGCGGTTCCCCCACCCAGGGCAGCGCTTCGTGGCCTCATAGGGAGCTCCACCGTAGGCCCCAGTGGGGGTGCCCGCATGCGGTTCCCCCACGCCCCAGTGGGGGTGTCCGCATGCGGTTTCCCCACCCAGGGCAGCGTTTCGTGGCCCCATAGGGAGCTCCACCGTAGGCCCCAGTGGGGGTGTCCGCATGCGGTTCCCCCACCCAGGGCAGCGTTTCGTAGCCCCATAAGGGAGCTCCACCGAAGGCCCCAGTGGGGGTGTCCGCATGCGGTTCCCCCACCCAGGGCAACGTTTCGTAGCCCCATAGGGAGCTCCACCGAAGGCCCCAGTGAGGGTGCCCGCATGCGGTTTCCCTACCCAGGGCAGCGTTTCGTGGCCCCATAGGGAGCTCCACCGTAGGCCCCAGTGGGGGGGCCCGCAGGCGGTTCCCCCACCCAGGGCAGCGTTTCGTGGCCCCATAGGGAATTCCACCGAAGGCCCCAGTGGGGGTGTCCGCATGCGGTTCCCTCCCCCTGGGGCTGCCTTTCGTGGCCCCATAGGGAGCTCCACCGTAGGCCCCAGTGGGGGTGTCCGCATGCGGTTCCCCCACCCAGGGTAGCGCTTCGTGGCTCCATAGGGAGCTCCACCGTAGGCCCCAGTGGGGGTGTCCGCATGCGGTTCCCCCACCCAGGGCAGCGCTTCGTGGCCTCACAGGGAACTCCACCGTAGGCCCCAGTGGGGGTGTCCGCATGCGGTTCCCCCACCCAGGGCAGCGTTTCGTAGCCCCATAAGGGAGCTCCACCGAAGGCCCCAGTGAGGGTGCCCGCATGCGGTTTCCCTACCCAGGGCAGCGTTTCGTAGCCCCATAGGGAGCTCCGCCGAAGGCCCCAGTGGGGGTGCCCGCATGCGGTTCCCCCACCCAGGGCAGCGCTTCGTGGCCCCATAGGGAGCTCCACCGTAGGCCCGAGTGGTGGTGCCTGCATGCGGTTCCCCCACCCAGGGCAGCGCTTCGTGGCCCCATAGGGAGCTCCACCAAAGGCCCCAGTGGGGGTGCCCGCATGCGGTTCCCCCACCCAGGGCAGCGTTTCGTGGCCCCATAAGGAGCTCCACCGTACGCCCCAGCGGGGTTGCCCGCTGGGGCCACACGTTGCGTGCCACACGTTGCGTGGCACCAGTGACACAACTCGTAGTAGTAAGTGTTCTTTACGTTCCGGCACACAAAGCTCCAGTGGCCCAGAGTTCCTTCCCTTTGCACGCTTGACTCGCCCACGACCTGGAAATATTGAGCTTCGTCGTGGTGGGGGCCTCGTCTTGACTGAAGCGGGATCCTTGCCTGTGGGGCCCGCAGCTTCATGTTCGAATCCGAACGAGTCCGGTGAGGAGGAGGAGGAGGAGGAGGAGGAGGAGGAGGAGGAGGAGGAGGAGGAGGAGGAGGAGAGGAGGAGGAGGAGGAGGAGGAGGAGGGAGGAGGAGAGAGGAGGAGGAGGAGGAGGAGGAGGAGGGAGGAGGAGGAGGAGGAGGAGGAGGAGGAGGAGGAGG